TTTCACTAGGGAAAAGAAGGCTGAATATTTGAACATTCCCAGGTTACTATCCAGAGCTTAGACCTGTTTAGCTTCCAGTAATGCTGCTACACTACATGCCTTCAGACCATGCCCATGGATTTAATTCCTGGATGTGTCAGGCCTTTCAACCCATCTGGTGCTTCCGGGTGCACCTTTTATACTCCCCCCCCCCAATCAGTCACTGCCACTCATTCATCACTGTATCAATGCACAGCTTCTGGAATTAAACAAAACAAAAACAAAAATCACTTATCTGGTTCCTCAGAACCCTCCTCTTCAAGTTATTTGCCATCCACCTTAGCCTTTTGGCCACAAGATTATTTGGATTTTAGTCAAGAGTTTAAGGAAGCCCCAGACCATTGATTTGGAAGGTTGGGTGTGTTTGTGCCTTAGTGGTATCTTGTGATCGAGCTATTGTTGTTTGTTGTGTGACTTATGGCAGCCCTAAGGCAAGCCTGTCATGGGGTTTTCTTGGCAAGATTTGTTCAGAGAAGGCTTGCCATTGCCTTCCCCTGAGGCTGAGAGCATGAACTTAGCTAAGATCACCCAGCAGATTTCATGGCTGAGCTGAGAATCAAATCCTGGTCTCCAGAGTCATAGCCCAATGCTCAAATCACTACACCATTCTGGAGATCCCAAACCACAGTAGAGTTAATCTAACCACAGTAATCTATGCACTTCTAACCACCCTGTTAGACTACTATAATGCTGTCTAAGTGGGGCTGCCCTTGAAGAATACTGTGAGATTGCAGCTAGTGCAAAATGCAGCAGCTCAACATGTGAGTGGAATATTATATAGACAGCATGTAATGCCAATCTTTTAAAAACTTCACTAGTTGCCATTACATTCCTGGTTTGATCTCAAGGTGTTTGTGATGACATCTAAAGCCCCAAATGGCTTGGGAACTCATTACCTGAGGGAGCACCTCTCCCCTATGTGTCTGCGCAAGGATTAAGATCTGTTGGGGGCAGGCTGCTCAGTGTCCTACCAGTGGGTCAATACATTGTGTTGGGATATGGGAGAGGGCCTTCTCAGCCATGGCATCCCAACTGTGGAATTCCCTCCCCATGGAGACCCAACTAGCACCAATACTCTTGTCATTTAAGTTCCAAGTTAAACCTTTGCTGTTCACTAAACACTTTGGTCCTTATTAATTCAATTAATTCAACTAAACTGTTATTTATAGTTTTTTTAAAAAAAATAAGATCTGTTTTTATGTCATTATATTATTCAATACATTTTTAGCTTATACTTCTGTACTTCTTTTAAACTATATAATAATAATAATAATAATAATAATAATAATAATAATAATAATAATAATAATAATAATAATTTATATCCCACCCTTTGGGGACCCAATCTGTAACCTGTAACCAATGGTGTCACCAATCTGTAATTCTGTTTGTAAGCTGCCTTGAGATCTGATGTAGTATGGGGAATAACAACAACAATACCACTAATACAACAACCACACATTGAGTCTAAGCAAGAGGTACCAAAAGGCTTTTATTTACACATGGATGATAATTTTGAATTCTTACACTGTGTTTAGAAATTAACATTAAACATTAAGTTTACAACATAACAATTTTCCATGACTATGATATAGTTTAAATTGCTGTAACCCCCTGTCTCTCTCCTTCCCCTCATTCTGTCTACCTCTCTCACCAACTTCCCTCATTCTCTTCCTCTATCTCCACTTTTCTTCATTACTTATCTAGTCTCCTGCAATTTCTCT